ATATCCTTAATCTTCAGCGTTGTAGGTGGAATTTCTCAAACTTCGAGCCACGCTTAGGCTTTTGTGGAAGACGATCGAGTCGAAACGTTAGACCGTTGATAATGCTTTTACCTAAAAACCTCGTTAGCCGAAGAACTGAAGTTGAAGGCGGATTTTACGATGAAAAGGTAGCTTATTGGAAGTAAGGGTAGAGGTGGTCAGTGGAGCAGGATGAAGAAGAAACAGAACCCGAGAAATGGACCCCTTCCTTGCCCGTTGATTTGCGCATTGATGCGACTCTCATCGCTGTGCCCTCTTCAACACTACGCTCTCTCTGCTATCTAATCACTCGCCACGTATAGACCTGCGGAGTGATTAGATAGTCGGTGGGCGTTCCAATTGCGCCAAAGGGAAGGCCATGCTAGATCGCCGGGGCATATCCTTCGATGCGAATTGTGTGTTGGTCCGCACCCTTAGGGGTCCGCCTGTCTCTCTACTAGGTAAGTTTCCCCTTCTTCGACCTTTCTTTTTTATCGTGGTATCATCCTTCAACGACGTTTATGTATTTCTCATTAAGATGTATTCCCTAACGGATCAAGTTGCGATCAAACTCGATTCGGTTAATTTCGACGTCTCCATGTTAACAGACTATGATCCAGACTACATATACAGGTTCTTGATTTTTCAAGAAGCGTTCTTAAGTAATAATAAAAAGAGACCATTCAGGATGCTTCAACCATTTTCTGGTCGCCTACTGGACGAGGTTACCAGGTCTTGTCTGGAAATCTCCCTTTATCCGATCGAGATTGTCTACGTCTTGTGCTCCTTGGCATGGCACGTTGAAGGTCAGTAAATGGGAACTGTTTCGGGTAATTACTTAGTGAATGATTAAAGTAGGAGCGTAAACAGCGCGCACCCCGTCGCATTGGTGAAAAAGCAAGCAGGCTTAGCATTTGCCCAGTCCAATTAAGCTCTCTGGTCGAACGGTTGGCTCACTTGCCATTTGTTTGTGGGACACTCAACGTATTGGGCCAGCTTTACTGTTGGACTGTATCAGCAACTTTGCTCTTCCTCAACCCTAACAAACCTTTATCATCTATCTGGTTACCAAAACGTCCAAGTTTTGACTGCGCTGGGTGGAAATCGCACCGCGCCATTGTGTTTCGGCCATTCACCCAACAAAACCAGCACTAAATCTATCGTGGATACAAAACAGAACAAATTTTAGGTGGATTGCTACTTTTCGCCGCAGATCACAGAGCGAATATTAATAAGAGGTGCTGACTCGAGCAAACCGCTTGGCCCTGTGAGGGAGTTAGTTCGGGTCTCGCGCTTTCAGAGCAATTTTGCTACTCAACCCATTGTGGACGCGACTATACGTGCATCTCCAATACCGCATGTCCCACAATTGACCTGACATTTCGAAAATCGTATCATTTATTGTTCTATCATTTTACCACTTTATTACAAGTTATATGATATTTTCTGTTTCCGAAAAGCATAGTTAACGCTGAAACTTGGGAAACGCTATGTAAATCAGTGAGACGGTTCTCTTCCATGTAGTGCACATGGTTAATCACGCGGTACGCAATGGGTTAAATATAAGGAAATATAGGGGGGGGGGCAAAAAAAGACATTTTGCCCATGTCGCACTTCGGCCTTTTTTCTTCGCAGAGATTGCCGTCGTTGACGGAAGTTCCTCAGCAGAGTATTCCCTAAATGTCCCTCTATAAGTAACGCAGGCCCTCCTTCACTGCCCTCACCGTCTTCAGAATATGACGTCATCTGTCACCGTCGTCAAGCTCAGGAGGCCTACCGTAACTGCTTCAGCCTGAAGCTCGTAATTTCGTGAATCGATTCTCAAACCCGCTTTTCAGTAAAGGTCGTTATGGTACACGATCCTTCGAAGACCCCATTGAGCTCGACCAGTGCAAATTCTTCTTCTGATGCCGTCCACGTAGGTGGCCACTATGAAGATTTTCTTATAGAATGGAATGCGCTCTTTAATAATAAGTTGGGACCATTCGGTCTGAATTGAGCAAAGTGTGCTTAAATCCATCTGGAAGTGGAGACAAAATGTCTTTTTTTTTGCCCCCCCCCCTGTATATATGCATATCAATGATAGATATTTAGATTTAGATTTAGATTAGATAGCAATGAATGCACTCTTGAAAGTTGAGTATGTAACGAGTAATACGGCACGTTGAAAATCACGTGGTTAGCGTTCGAGTCCAGTCTGAGGCAAAGTTTAGAGCACTTAATCACGTACAGAATCCTTCTGGTAATGAACTCAATGCTAACTAAATGCTTTCTGGTTCAGGTAAACCCGTGAGTCGAGAGACACAATCGGTGGCGGAGACTTATCGAGAACAGATCTCTGACGAACTGCACAATTATTATACTCATGTCACAAAAACTCCTAATTATGCTGGTCGCCTTATAAAAATCATGTCTTTGGTACACTGTATTGAGGTGAGTTTGGGTCTATCCCTGCTTCTTTGCGAACTTCAAGATTAAAATTACCTGGCACGTGTCATAAGAATCTTCATCCCTCCGTCCTATCTATAGAAATATCAGCGACTGTTGATCAATGATGCTTGCGATTCTGAATATGCGTACACATAAGATGATATAAATCAAAGGCAGGGTCGGGATCATCGTGTGTCAGCTTGTTCGAGTATGACAAGAAGGCGTATATGAACGTGTGGGAGAGAAAGCAAAGTAAGAATTAATAGATCAGGGAAGTCCCTTGTAAGTTTGACCGATCGCATACAGAGACACTGGTGTGGGAGAAAGGAAACCCTAGAGAGCGCAGTAAAGCGAGAGGTTAGTGAACATTGATGGCAATGGTAGCGTCGACAGATTAGCTATTGTGTCGCACATATCTAGTGTCTCCACCAACCTCTTCGATTTAGGGATGTGCTAAAGGCTCAAGGATACGAATTTTTGAAAAACTTGATCGCCAACTCGCCTACTAAAGGCAAGGCACAGCATGCGAACTATTCGAGGTTTATTAGGGGTGAAATTCCTTCTAAACACATAGATCCCCAGTTCATGCCTACTTCAAAAATGCGCTTCATAATTAACTAACTTTGAACTATCATCCCGAAATCACAGGAGCGACATTTTCCTCTCCCCCTCCTCCAATGTGAATTGCTCTACAGAGGACTGACCCTGCTTTGGGCTCAGGGTATCTCGCTCTGTTCCGAAATTCGATGCCTGCTGTCAACTTTAGCCCCAAAGTTTTCTCCTTTGTTTACAGTTATACGAACAATTTTTTTTCAGAATATTCATTACGAAAAATCAAAGGTGATGGAACTGGCAAAAATATTCGACGTATTCAAAATTGAACTCTCAGAAAAAGGGCTATTTGACTGCTGAAGCCAGAAGACAAAAGAACTTCATTCAGTGGAGAAACCGGATAGCCAATTGTTCACGAGGCGAATAGAACTCTACAGAACATGACGATCCATTGCGTGAAGTGCTTCACAGCTTAGCTGTGGCGAAGTTCATTTGAGCATCATTTTGTCAGTGTATGTCAATGAATATTTTATCCAAAAGTAAATATTGTTCAGAAACGCAGTTTTCCACTCTCTTTTCAGATAGAACACAGGAGTAACGATAAGAGAAATTGATTCTCCGCGATTAAAGCAACAGTCCCAGCAGGGTTTTTACCTTCGACACTAATGGTGTGGAACGATGCGCTAGCCCTAGTCAAGAACATAAGAAGTGTGACTGAACAAAAACTCACCTTGGAAAGCCGCTAGAAAGGGAGCTGAACAGCTTCGAAGTGGGCGTGGTTATCAATCGGGCGAGGGGACTGCAGCCGAGCTAACGCTCTCTACTGAACGGCTAGACTCAGACACGAGTCGACGCGTGAGGGGGCGTACCGCGCCAATAGCGTTCCGATCGCGCCGTGGGGAGACCATGATAGATCGCCAGGGGATTTCAATACGAATTATGTGTCGATCCGTACCCTGAGGAGGTCCACCTGTCTTAACATTAGGAAAGTTTTCCCTTCTTCGACTGTCCTTATCATGGAATCCTCCTTTACCTCTGTCCGTAGGACGGTTGACGGTAAAAATTATTTCTCTGACGTTTTTATGGCATTATACAGCGGAACGACTATTTACATATGTTCATCAGCATACATTTTACAATCACTGGTCAGATCACGGTGAGCTTCACGAAGTCGATGACTCTTCGATCTCCGTTTTTAGCTGATCAACGATTGCACGACGGGCAGCCAGAACGTCGTCTGTGCCAATTCCGCCTCGACTTCCTCGCATCAGACCTCTTGCGGCTCGGGCGGTACGAGGTCGCTCTTGAGCTGCACGTTGATAAAACTATTTATTTCATTCCAGTATATTGGTGCTCATCAGGGTAGAGGGAGGAGTCCACCGAAAAAATCTAGATTGATTAGTAGTTCTGGAAAATGCAAAACAGAAGCTGAATATGGCATATTGAACATTTTCTTACGTTCATCTGCTTCTCGCGTTCGTTGGCTTTCATAGCGAGAAGGCGATCCCGTTGCATTCGAAGGTATTCTTCACGGCTACGAATAGTGGCAGAGTTCAGACGATTTGGTTCTCGAAGCAGGGCCTAGAAAAATCCATTTTTGATCCTTTATCTTTATCTTTGTCATTGTCAGTCGCCAGGAAAGGATAAGGATAAATGATAAAGGATAAAGGATAAAGGATAAAGCATTTGCCGTTGATCAATCCCTTTTTGGATGCGGCCATGCTTCCTACTTCCATTTGCAGGGTGGTCCAAAATTCTGAAGACCAAAGCAAAAATCCTCCACAAAAAGCAATTTTTCGAGTTCGTTGCTTTCGAAGAATTGTTACAATGGAACCATCCACCTAATAGCTCTAGATTTCTGTATTTCACACCCTGGATGCAAGCGCAAATAAATGCAACACAAAAGTTTGATTCCCTGAAGAAGGCAGAGCAGAAGGCCTGGAAACATTTGGACACGCCTTAGTTGCGTGCCACCGCACGCGCCATCCCCCTCATCCGAAGGCTCGTGTTAACGGGAAGTGGAAGTGGCAGATCTCAATTCTATTCTGGAATTACTTTGAGGTAAGAGTTACAAATACTTCCCAGAAGTTGGTTTGTTCCATCAAGCTACTATGCGTTTTTAACGACACAATGTCTTGGGTCCTCGTATTGGACCACCTGTACATTCGCAGTGGCGTTTGAATGCGATGTGGCCTATACAATGACTTGCGGGGGGCCAGCCGATGTACAAGTCAGTGTTTTTTATCCTCCCAGACAAGTCTGGTACCAATTAACCGACCCCGGAGGGATGGAAGGCTTGGTTGGCCCGGGCGACTCACGACCCAGGATTTGATCCCCGGACCGCTCGCGTGGTGAGCGTGCCACTTGCCACTACACCACTTCCGCCCTAAAAGATAATAAAATATAATAGTATGACTGTATTGAGAAAGCAATTAACTCTTACTTAAATTGATGTTTCAAAGAAGAAGAGGAGAGTGCCAACAAAAAACTAATAGAGCCGAAAACACTGAACAAACTGGTTGAAGCAGCGATTATGAGAAAAGCAACCGAAACAACATAACCACTGCTGTTTCACAAGAATGCTGGGTTGTGAACAAAACTTTCGCCCCAGGCGGGACTAGAACCCGCACCTCTCGCTTTCCGGGCAAGTGCGCTACCAGTTACGCTACCGGGGCACCATTTCATTCCCAACTCAGCTTTTCATGGTATACGTACCATAGCTTTCAGCACTCACACTAACGTGTTGAGCCGGTTAGCCGATATCGGCAATGACCGCGAGGCTGAAAGCTTTAGCAGTGAATTTTGACTTGTTTTGTTTGTTAACTGCTGTTTTAAATCGTTCTGTTCACTATCCTCAATGCAGTTCAGTATCCCAATTTTATCACTGTGAAGAACAAACATGCTTGACTAGCATTATCGATAGCAGAGGAGATAGGAGCATATCAGAATATTCCGAGTAAGATTGATCATTGCAAACCGGAAAAAGCGCAACAGCAACATGCCACGCCACCATATCAATGATCTAGGCCTGTCCCATAAGGCCCGGGTATACCTTTCATTCCGAGTTGACAAATCGATACTAGCAGTGTTGGGGAAGAGGAGACACCTAAAATTAAACGCGCAACTCAGGCAGAAGACGTGATTCGGTCTGTAGGACAAAAGCCAAGAGTGCATTCACGGACTCGGCACCGAGCATGGAACTCGCCCGAAAATTGCACTAGGGTCCTGCTATGTGAGCTGCAGCAGTTGCAGAAGTTCCCGACCGCAGACCGCAGCAAGCTATGCCTTGGCCCTTCCAAATGTGGGGCTCGTCGTCCTCATGCTCTCTCTTCCTCCCGCGCCGAGTCATCCCAATTACTTTAGCACAGTCGCATCACGAAAGGTAACAAGCCCAGCAAGCATTTTCGACAGATTCTATTTTTTTTCCTTCTCAACTGTCGACCCCTTTCGCACTAATGCTTTCGCATTCCTGTGCTATCAGCCGGTAGCCAACTCTACTGTATGGGCCAAATATGCGCTTTGACGATTGTGCAATGCTGACCAGAAGGTAAGAAGATAGCGCCCCCGCAGCCGAAAAGGTCAGTTAGGTTTGAAGGGGAGAGGGGAAGGGTGAACCAAATACGCTCACTCCAACATAGAGTGTGTTGTGTGTTGAATGTGCGAAATTCCGAGCAGGAAAAAAACATAGAGAAACGGATTTGGGAAAAGTTTAATCCTGGCCGGCTGCTTTCTGTTTACCTTGAACGTCAAAAAAACAAACTGGGTGTGAAGGGTGGGGGAGGGCACGTGAAGGCTTCAGGGAGGATGATGTTGTCACTTGCTCAAGTTCACGCATACATGCACCTACCCTCCCTTCAAAAAGCGAGAAAGTGTCGGGTGCAGACCATGCACCACAAGTGACGACGGCCTTCACAAAATGTTAATGTTTTCTGCCAATGAAATGATTAGCCTGTTGCAGTTGTATTCTATCGATTGTCACTAATTACAACTATCATTTACCAGAAATCAGCTATCACTATGAACAACTTCTAACCAGATTTACTTGGAGGCCGTCGCACTTGTGGTGTTTGTTCTGCATCTAGCTTCTCGCTTTCAAAAGGGGACGCTTACCTTCATCAATGTAATTCTTTGGGAAAATAGATGAAGAATTTTGCTTTCCGAACCAAGTATAGCATTAATTGAAAAAAAATTGCTCACATTCACATGCGTAGATGTCCTCCCACTGTCCCCATACATCATTCCAATCGCTTCCAGCTCTGCTCAGTTTTCCGCTCATAAGCGCTTGTACTGACGAGAATTCCCTCCTTCTTCCAGCTCTGCTTCAGTTTTCGCTCTAGCGCTCGTATTGACGAGATCGTCCTCTTTCGGCTTCCGAGCTTCTGTAGACGGCTAAAACTCATTGCTGAGGGCTGATCGCAAAAAGAACTTCAAAAAAGGCCTTATTTTTATCTCTCCACTTACACGCCTATCCTTCACACTTTTCAACGCAGCTCTTTCACCAACACCACCACTTGGAGTGTTTCCTCGCTTTGCTGTAGGTGGACGTCCATTGCCCCTGCTGAAAGCAAAGCTGCTTGTTGAACGAACAGGGAAAGTTCATGATGCACTCACGTTCTTGGCGGTGTCTTCTCAGGTGGTGCTGACGTCTTTGTCGTTGGACTTTTGTCACCTACGCTTGCACGTCGATCTCTTTCGGAAGGAGCTAAGGTGTTCATTGTCGGAGGTCGCTCTCCTGTGCTTTCGCGTCGATCTTTCTTCGCTGTAGCTGCTCTGGATGGTTTCGAATCAGCGCTTCCCGCGGACCCAACCGTCTCAGAACCTTCTACGGTGTTTGATGACTTTGATGCCGCTCCTTCGGATGTAGCTTTTAGTTCTGCATTTTTGGTGACCAAAGGTGTCGCTTCAGTGCGCGACGATGATGTGGCAGTTAAACCTTCTCGTTTCTGATCTGTCTTTTCGCTCTTAAAAAGCAGTTCATTTGCGTGGGAAGAAAAGACTTGGTATAAAAAGTGATAAAATTATAAGGCTCTACTACGATACATGTACATGTACATTTCCTTCTAAAGTACTTTTTACCCCACCCCCTCCCTTCCCTTTAGCCCTTCCACTGAAGCAGTGTTCGCGAGCAGTGTGGAGACGCCAGTATCACATACATGCTCCACTAATCGACACCCTTCGCTACTACCACACCAAGAACCTAGATAGTAGGTATACGTGAGCCTTAGGAGCATAGAACTATCGGCACTACATACCCTTTACGGTCCGGCTCATTCCTGGAGAAGTGAGCTGGATTTTAATTGAAATTTGTGCGTGACTACAGAGTTGGCTAGAAAGTTGTTAGGCCTTCATTTTTTGACTGGTGGATAGATGCTACGACAAAGTGACGTTTGGCGCAGAAGTAAGAAAAGAGGGACGAGCGAGACGCAGACATGAAAGCATTTGCAACGGTGAGCGGCAACAGAACCGAAATACAAGCCTCATCTCATTCTCGTTCAGCCTCTCACAAGTACCAAAGGTAGCTGCGGCTCTGCGTTTGCGGACCAGTCTACCTTATTTACAAGGAATGACGTCACAGTTCTTGTCAATTCAATAAGGAAGGCGTCTTTTGAGATATAACCCAGGATGGGAGTAGTGAAATGTTACGAATCAGCTATAAGGAGCAGGGACCGTGTACGACGCGATACGAGACAGAAGATGCTTCAAAAAAACGTTATTAGACATCAGAATCAAGAAGATTCGCCTCGCTTCTGATCCGCATCTCCTATCGTGTCAAAGAACTTTTTTCGGCGCCTTCTATCTATCCCTGGCCTGTGTTTTCGAGGGTTTCTCCTCATTTTTCTTCGTACCCCCATTTTCATTATCGAGTCTTCTTACCCCACCGAACTTATCTTCACCCTCAAAACTGTAGTAGGTAAACTCTTTACTGAATACCCCACCTCGTTCGTCACAGCTAAAGCACGACTGAACAGTTCTTCTTCCTTCCCACGTTCCATTTCTAGCCGTCTTCTTTCCTCTTCACTGCTTCGTAGTACATCTTCCAATTCTTTCATCTCACTTTTAGAAAGGCTATCAAACTCTTCCTTGCTTTGCCTGCAAATTTCCCATTTAGATCTCCCTGTGAAAATTATCTATCTTAACCACAAACGTTCTTCTGTTTCCGAGTGATTATTCGGAAGCCAGGGTCAACCCTATGTTGCTACAAGTAGCAACGGGGGGGGGTCGTATTTTGATGAGTTTGTAGAGGGGGGGGTCGTACTTGCTTCGGTTGTAAGAAGTTGCATGTGATGAGTGGGGAGCGGCGCGGGAGAAAATTTGCCGTTTCAGCGCGCGTATATATTCCCCCTAGAAAACCCTCCCCCTCCCCCCGCTCGACGGTAATTTTTTGGGGTAAAAAATTGGTCGGAAAGGGGGGTAGTAGTAGGAAACTTTTCCTGAAAGGAGGAGAAAAACTTTCTCGAAAAGTAGCGACGATAGGACTGACCCTGCTTGGAACCAGCATTAATTCACCTCTTGCTTCAACCTTTTATTTCCTCAAAAGAGCTTGCCAAGTTTGAAAGATCTCGCACGTTAACAAACAGCATAGAGCTCCCTCCCAAGGTATGACACCGCCTCTAGAGAGGGCACCGATACCTAACATTAGTGAATGTTGTCAAAAGCTATCATCTTGTGTTTGCCTTACTGCTGAATATCGGAAAGGAGGCTGTAAAGGAGTAATTCTCGGCATAACTTCCACTTCAATTTAGAGAAACAAAGTAACGGAAATTATAATCAATAGATGGACCGGTCGCATTCCGCACAGGGAATACCATTTGTGAATCGGATAGCTCCATGAACTGCTCTTGTCCCACCACAATCTCTTTCAAATTTGCTCCTATGGAAAACTTTTGCATGATTATCCTTTTGATCTGAAGAGGCAATTTCCTTGCCCAGGGCACACCGATGAACTGGCACACATCATCTGCTGCAGTTCAGTAGCAGTGGTGGCCAAGGTCTTAGAAACACCCCGTTCAAGTTCTCTCTTCCAAATGATTTTCAAGCCTAGTTAGATGAATTTAGACGGCCTCAAAATCATAGTTCCTTCCAGACAGACGTTTGTAGAATGATCTCACTGTAACTTTTGCTCATCACTTTTCTACATGCTTCGGCTCCCCATCCGTCCAGCGAAAAATTGGAAAAATAATTGGGACTTCGTTCGTGCTGGGACTGCTACTCATTCCTTTGGTCAGAGGAGACCTTGCGCTACAGTAGCACCACCTTAGGCAGGCGAGGAGTCGTAATACCCAATTGCTGTGAAACCATATACAGTAGCGGTCAAAAGTGTTCGCCTCAGCGATTTTTCATGCGCCAGATTTTCTTTTCTCGAAAAGGTGTTGAAGGGTGAATAAAGATTTTTCTTTCGAGTGGAATTCTTAGAATTCAGAGATTCCAAAGAAGTAGAAGCAAAGCATACCCAAATTTGGAGAGACCGATAAGACAAGGAAAAACAAAGCACGAACAAATCGTTTCGGCGAAGACCTGCAACTGTAGGTAGCATTGTTGACTGGCGAGAGAACTGCAGAAGCTTATGGGACACCCTGATAAATTCAGGCAAAAAAAGCAAAATAGTTATCGTTTTTCATAATTCCATTCATATTTTTTTTCGTGGTCTAATAATTGCCCATATCAGACCTAGGAAGGGAATACCTCCTTGGCTCTACAGTACTTTGGTGGGCAGGGGGGGGGGTCAAAAACTACAGGCAGCCTTGAGGTTTTCTAGGAAGCTGAAAGATTTTGTAATATTAGATCAAACCAATTATAAAGACAAGCGCGTTACAACCTCGTTAATTAAAAAAAAGCCTACTAGTGTCCAACGCGATGCAAAGACAACACTGGGCCAGAACTTTCCTATCCATTTCCGAGCCAACATATCGACCTTTTTCTCTGTTAATTAGGTGTTATTTTGAGCCTTACCTCATTACTGCAATAAGAACGTATCGTTCGGTTTCTTCAGGGGTAACCACTCTAGCCTTATTTTTCAATGTTTCGCCATCCTTCGATTTGCAATACCGACGGGAGTAAACCACACATAAACTGAAAAGAATAGTACCGTCAGAACCTCATTACCGGAAATCTGAATGGTGTAATCACGCCCACCTCGATCATTTGAAGGGCCTGCAGCTGCAATTCTACATTTTTCCTC